GCTCAGGAGTGTCTGAAGGTCAAACGAAGACAGAACAGGCAGATAAAGTAAAGTTTAAGGGTTTAAACTTTATATACTTACATGCAGGTGAACAGGCTGGCAGGCAGATACAGGTCCAGGTCCAGGTCCAGGTCCAGGTAAAAGCAGATCCAACAAGTAACCTGGCCCACAGCAGACCAGAAGTCTAACAGGAAGATGAGCGTGAGCAGGTATGTATGGGGAGAGGCTGATGAGGGAAGGGAGAGCAGGTGTGGCGGTCAGGTGAAGAGGAAATGAGGAAGAGCCTGTGGAGGACACCTGGTGGAGAGCTGGAGAATGGCAGGACTGAGGATCCAGAGCCAGAGAGCAGCGCAGAGGGCCGGGCACTGATGGGCGCCTAAAACTGTCAGATGCGAACGTACTCCGGGCTCCTGCCTTACAGAGGGGACGACTTTGGGTGAGACACACATTCTCCCCAGACACGAGGAGAACATGCAAACTGCACGCAGAAAGACCTGGGACGACCGAGGTTCGAACCCTTCTTGCTGTGAGCCGACAGTGCTAACCACTGCACCACCGTGCCACCTCAGGACGAGAGGCCTATTTTTAATGAACGCAGCATCACACACTTAATGTAACTTCTTTCTTTGTACTCTGCTTTTAACATCTCAACGCTATGAACTGTGGGTAATTCCCTCAGGAAAAGTCTGCTGTGTTTCTACCAGACACACAAATCTCACATGTTGTGGTTCTGATATTTTTTAGATTTCTGTCTGACTTGCTCTGAAAACTTCAAGGCATGCTGGGAAAACGCCCAGCTAGATGTCGCTGTGTCTTTAAAAACGAAACCTTTTCAGTTCACCTGCTTACAGGAAGTAACTTGTATCAACATATCCAGTGTTGGGAAGGTGCTGCTTTTCTAAATTTCTAATGAATGTTTTCAACCGTTTAGAAAAAGACAGCTTGAGAGACAGTTTAACCTTCAGACGGGCGGCGCTGCAAATTCAAACAGAAGGACCAGAACAGCATCAAGCTTTACTGAACGGCTGAGGTGGAAATGACAGAGGAAGACATTGTGCACATGAAAAACATGCAAAGCAACAAATGAATATAATTCAACAAAAAGTCGAGCTTTTTACAGAAAATATTCAGATGTAACTCCCAATGTAATCCTGAACATAAGTAACTGTAATTTTTTCTTAGTAACTGTAACAGATTATAGTTACATTTATTTTGAAATTAAATTACTTAACAAATTACATTTAACTAGTTACTTCCCAACACTGGACATATCAAAGTTTGAGAGGCCTCACTGAACAGAATGACGTAACTTGAAACAACAACATAGTGTAAATAAAGGTCAGTTCATTTTCTGGAAACACGCTTTACCAAACATGTTGTAAAGTAGTGAAGCTAAGCTAATGTAAGAAAACCGACGAAATGAAAGACTTCTGCTCATTCATTGTTGTATCTTCGCTGTTCCTAGGACCGCACTCTTCTGGACAGAGACCTGGAATCTGCTGGAGCCACTCTCCCAGTTTGGGGGCCCCCAGTGCTCCGATTACCACTGGCACCACAGTTGTTTTTACTCTCCACATCTTTTCTAGCTCCCCTTTAGCCCTTTGTATTTTTCAAGCTTCTTCTTGATGTTGCTGCCGCTTGGGATCACTCCTCCTATCACTGCTCCCTTCTTCTGCTGTTTGTCGATCAACACGATGTCTGGTTGGTTAGCCATCACCAGTTTGTCAGTCTGGATCTTGAAGTCCCACAGGATCTTAGCTCGGTCATTCTAACCTATTTTAGGAGGCGTCTTCCATTTTGACCTTCCAGCCCATCCTCATGGCAGATGTTCCTGAACACTATGACAGCTATGACAGTTCTGTGCTGTCCTTCAGTCCAGCCTTTTCTAGCCACAGGTAGGATTTCTTGATATCAGCCACTTCTTCTACCTGTCAGTGGTACAGGTCTGTCTGTCCATGAAGGTTCTTCCTCCTCCTAGATGCCAAGCCTTAACTTTGACTTCTGGCCTTCTGCACCTAATGCTCTTTGTGAATTATGGCGTTCATCTTCTAGCCAAACATCTCTGGGAGTACTGTTGCTGTGGTGTATCAGTATAGCAGACCTTCAGAGGGTACTTTGTGACTTAGCCTTGGCAACCTTGACCGTTGGATCCTGCTCTGCCCTGACTGGGAATCCCACGATCACCTGTACCAAAGTCAGAGGCATGAACCACTGGGCTATCCAGGCGCTCTACATATCTATACTGAAATATAAAAAAAAAAAAAACAGATGTTCAGTTGTCATTCAGTAGTAGGTAGTGATGCTGAGATAAACTTTAAGAATTATTTATGAACTAAAAACACATCATCAACATATTTGATGAAAATGATATCTCACTTTCTGAAATTTTCTGTAAATGTCTAGGATAAATACGTGGAAATACTACTAGTGCAGGTGATACTACTAATTTAAACTTTGACTGTTGTTCTTATTTAAGGAAATAAAAATGTTTCCATTGTTTTTTTCTTGGTGAGGACATTTACAGGTTTTAACGGAGAAGGTGAACACTTTCACAAGTCTTAAAGAAGTGGTGTTCTGCTCATTTTCAGGTTCACAATCTTATTTAGAGGTTGTACCAGAACAGGTTCACATGGTTTCATTTTCAAAAAACACCATATTTTTGTCAGACTGCACATTGCTGCAGCTCCTCTTTTCACCCTATATTGAAGGCTTCGTTTTAGCTACGGAGTGATACATCTTGTCTCTAAATGATCTTTGTTGGGAGTTGCACATGCGCCTAGTTAAGGACTACTAGCCAATCAGAAGCAGAGAAGGTAACACAGTAATGGAAAAAGAGGCTGGACTACAATGGCGCTGTTTTCAGGCAGTTCAGGAGCAGAGTTTTCTTTACTACCACTACTTTGGGCTTTTTCACTTTGCAAACCTATTACATGCACAAAAAAGATTTATAACACAATAAAGGAGAGGGAAAAAGCAGAATATGAGCTCTTTAAACATTAGAGTTAGTCAACAATATGAACATTATTTACTTCAGTCCTGCTGGTATCATGAAGCATTGCATTTTGCATTTATTCATTCAGCAGAGGCTTTTATCCAAAACAACTGTACGAGTCTCTCACACCAAAGGTATGTGTCTTATCCACTGTTCCATCACCACCCACATTAAACCTCTGCTAACATCTGGACAGACGGATGTGGAGCCCCGACAGTCTGAATATCTGAATAAAGGACACTCCAGATTAACAAATGTGCTGTGAACACGTTAATCTGAACAATCCTTTTGATAAGTTGGTGAGGACACTGCTTTTTTTTTTAAAATAAAGTGAGACCTAAAAACTGCTCCAGACCACCTGTTTTTAAAATGAGCTTTATGTGCTACAGATTTACACTTTAATCAGTGTTTAATGTGTCTTGAATACGACTGTGATATGCAACTCTTATTCAAAGTGAAGAATAAAAATTTGAATAAAAATTTGTAAAAACAAGAAAAATTTTAAAATAGCAAAATGAAATAGATCATTTAAATATAAATAATAAATATGAAGATAATATCTTCAAAAAATTGGTTTAAAAAAATATTTTAAATAATACAATATAGGTCTAACATCAACAAATTTCTATGATAAATAACAAAAATACAAATACAAAGTCCTGTACCTATACTTACAAATAGTACAAAGTACAAAATAAATAAATAATTATAATAACTAATATTCCAAATTCCCTAAATATCCAACAACACAGGCTCTGAGCTCCCAGTCCGGGTCGGCTAACAGGATGGCAAACTGAGCTAACTAGCTAACGGCAGCTACAGTTAGCAGCAGTTTGAGAGTTTGATCCATAACAATGTTTTCTATTTTATAAATATTAGTTGATAGTTATTCTGCATTTTTCATGTAAAAACTCTACATCCACTAATGCTGCATTCAAAATGCTACTTCAGTACAAACACAGAAGTCTTATCATAAATATGACTCACTGTGCAGCAGGACCGCCTTTGTCACTGTTTTGTTATTATATATTTCATTAACAGATTATTAATACTGATCAATGTTAGAGCTGCATTTTACTGTTGGAGCTGCTCCAGACTGTTTGGGGGTTTAAATCCACTTCTTCATGACCTTTTCATCATGTGACCTCTAAAACAAAGTGATATCTGCTTGTGTGATCGGCTTTTTGGTCGTTTTTATAAACTATTTTTGACGTTCAGTTGTTAATTTGTTTAAGCACTCAGGTGCATTACTGTTGGTATTTCCTTTTAAAAACTCGAGAGTGGAATAAAGGTTTTGTGTAGGAAGTTGTTCTTCTTCTTTCCTCCCTTAATAATCTTTTCACATCCGTCAGATTTATCTTGAGAAACTTGAGAGCATATCTACAACATATTTTAAATACTGTTCTCATTAAGCTCTGTGAAAAATCCTCAAACTAACTGCTTCTCTCTCGTTATCCTGCGACCTCTTGTGTGGGCCCGACCCCCAGGTTGGAAACCGCTAGTTGAATGTATTTGATGTTTTAACAAACACAGGAGTAGGTTCAGTGCAGGACTCGTCCCTGCAAAATGCACCACAGGAAGTCGTTCCTGGCTGTGGCCATCAGACTCTGTAGCTCCTCCCTCAGAGAGTCGGACACTCAAAACACTAATGTGCAATATTCTGGTTTATTCTGTCTCAATACTGAATTGTTTAAGGATTTATATTCACTAAAGCTCTCAACATTATCTTTACTCATTATTACTACTATTTCTCCATTACAGTACTGTACATGTTTCCATACCTTTTTATAATTTTAGATTTATATTATTACTTCTACTTTCTTTATTGACAACCTGAGCATCTGTACCACAACAATTTCCCCTCTGGGATCAATAAAGTATTTCTAATTCTGATGTTCTGCATGTAAAGTTGTATTTAAACTTGTATGTAAAACAGTTCTTATCTGAAACTGTGGTGGGAATCGTTTATGTCCTTGTGTAGAGCAAATAAAGAAGTTACAACAAACAGTTGTCTTTGTGAGTTTTATTAAAGTAAGAAAAAAGTAGTGAAACAAAGTCAGCTGGTCCAGAGGACTCAGACTCCACAGCATCTGGATAACTAAGGGATTTAATGCAGGAGATAACTGGAGTCTACGAGAAAGCTGTTCTCAGCCTTGATACTCAAGTTCTCACAGGAACAGTATAGTATAGGCAGAAGATAAAACTATCTCACAGATGTTCATTATAGCTGAAACACTGGTACACATAGTGGACAGTAAGATGAATATAAGTACACAAAGTAAATGATATGATCATCAGAATGCATAAAGGTCAAATCAGTCCCCTCTTTGGCCGTTCCATGGACACATTAAATTTATGAAACATGGTCAGAACATTAATGAATGCTCTCATCTTACTGTTTAAAAAAGAGATTAGCGTCAGCTGTTTTTACACAACAGACATTCTTGAGTAGTGAGCAAGCAAGGGGAACTATCTAATCTAAATGTCTAAATCTAATGTACTATCAGAGCATTTTACACCGGTTATTACAACACAACAATAACATGTAAATCAATACACATCAGCATAACAAGTCATTATCATTATTCACATTAACCACCTTTTTCAAAACTCAAAGAAAATAATAGAAGAGCAGAACAACTGAGTAAGAAGCTGATATTCCTGTTTACAAAGCCGTACTGAACAATGCAAATCTATATATCTAAACACTTTATGAACAGTTATATTTAGATTGTCAAAATAGATAAAATTTAAATACTATTTAATTCTCAGTGTTCAGGTTTGCTGAGTTAATAAAGCTGCAGGTTTAAACTGTGACACTGGTGTTAATGGTGGCAGGAAGTTGTCCAGTTAATGCTTCCAGCACAAAATGTGTACAAACGAGTTAGCAGCTTCTCTCTTTATGTCGAAAACATTTCTACTTGTTGGTCAGAATAACTGAAGTGTCGGTGTCTCAGTATGGAGACTCTGTCTCAGTACATCACTCTCTGTCTTGTTTGGTTCTTTGGTATCTGGGTCTGAATGGATCTCTGTCTTTGTTTGGGTATTTGGTCAGGTCTTGTTATGGTCTTGGTTTTGATTTAGTTTTGACACAAAGATTTCGGATCACTATTCTATGGACTCGAGGACTGTCTCTTCTCTTTCTATTTTAGCCATGCTCTCAGATTTTTCTCTCATGGTTATCAGGGACTGGACTCGTTTTTTCCAGCCTGGCTTGGCCTCAGATTTCTCTCCCTCAATCAGCATGTCGATGTACTCTGGAGTGGAGAGAGGATTTGGCTTCAGTTCTATCTCTTTAAGTCTTTTTAAACACACAGAAGACTTCTTTATCAGTTTCACCACCTCAACCTGAACATCATCATATTCAGCCTTCAGTTTATCAATCAGTGCCTGAACAGGTCTCTTAGCCTCTGAGGCTTTCAGCTTTTTCACTGTTTGTTTTTCTTTTACTTCCTTATACTCCCATTTGTACTTCTGAATATAATGTACATCCCAGAAACATTTGCCTGGACACTCAGTACAGTATCCATCTGATCCCATTGCAACACAGTGTCTTAAATCTGCATCATTTGCATATGGACAGGGATAGTGACAGGTGACATGACACTGCTGACAGTTGGTGAGGTAATTTCCAGTACCAGAAAAATCTACTTCAAAAGGCTTCATGACAGTGACTTCAAACTCAAAGTTCTTGTTTCTTTTCATCTCTGCCTCGTGCTCTTTTAGTATTTCACTTGTCTCTTTTATCTCCTCCAGCTTGGCTAACTGAACTTTAACCTGCTCCTGCAAGTTTTCAACTGAATTCTCGAGCTGCTCTCTTTCTCTGAGGACCTGCTGCGTCATCGTCAAGCTTTTGGTTTCTATTTGATTCAAAGCAGCAAAGAACCTCTTCATGCTTTTGTCCCCATGTTCCAAAACATCTGATCAAAGCCTCCATCTTCATCCTCATCATCCCCACTCATGCTGCCTGCTGCAGATGATTTGTTGTCTGCAAACAAAGCTGAGTTATTGAATTTGAAGTGAACTGGCAGCCCGTCTCTTGTTTTAGGACATGGGACACCTGAAGCATTGATTGCCTCTAGAACTGGTGGACGCTGGCCGTCTGCAAATGTCACCAGAACCCTGATGTTTTCTGCCACATCTTTGCCAAAGATTGAGAGTATGGAGTCAAACACATATTTCTGTGTTGGCGTGAGTCGAGCTAAAGAAGCCTGAGCTACAAAACACACAGCGTCAATTTCACTGACACCAAGCTCAGCAGAGAAGAGATTACACAGCTGTTCTGTGATGCTCTCATCTCTTATTAAGCCTCTTGTATCTCCAAACTCTGGAGTGTCAACAATGGTCAGAGAGTATTCTGTTTTAAAACCCTCCTGGTGGTTGATTTTGTACACAGTGACTTCAGAGGTCTGACTTTCAGCCTGTGACGTCGACTGATCCTCATCAATTAACTTAAACCGATATGAATCCTCCCATTCGACACCTAGAATGTAATTGATCATCCCATTGATGAGAGTTGACTTCCCAGCTCCAGTTGCTCCCAGAAGCATGATGGTGCGATTACGTTTAGTGGACTCTTTCCCAAAACTGAAACTCCTGCAGCCAGGGACACTGATTCGTTCATCTTTCAGGGGGATTTTATAAACAGGGACAGGACCGGTCTGGGGTTCTAACAATGTGCTTTGATCTTTAACAGAATCAGAAAGTCTTCAGCAGGTTTTAATGGAACCACTGGCTTCATTGGCCGGCCCAACACCTGCTGAGGTCACTGCTCTGCATCTGAACATATACTCTGTGTTAGGACTCAGATGGCTCACTGTGACTTCTCCAGCTTTTGATGCTGTCTCTTGTTGCCATCCATCCTCTCCTCTGACACAGTACTCTACAGAGTAGGAGGTGATGTTCTCTGCTCCAAATCTGGGCGCAGAAATCTTCAGTGTCACACTGTTGTGCTTTATGTCACTTGCTGTTACTGTTTCAGGCTTTGAAGGCGGCTCAAAGTTCTCATTGACAGAAAAGCCGTCTTCATAAAGGTAGATGCTTGAACCTTTCTGTGTCTCATTTGTTAATCCCACTGTCAGGAACTTTATGTTCTTGTTCTCCTTGTTGGCCTCTGCAAAGTCACTGAAGAGCTTTGCTTTATTCCTCATTGCATCTGTTATTTCTTTTGAGGTGAACCATTGTTCCTTCTCTACATCTTGAGGGTCGTCTGCTTCGGGTGTTTGTTTTATGTAGTTTGATAAAGCTGAGAGGTACGGTTCAGCACTTCCCAGGGAGGTGAAAACAAAACACATAGCATGATCTGCACTGAGGATTTCCCTGTACAGGTCTGTTTGAGACGGGATGATCTTGGTGTTTTTCATCTTGTTGGTTAAAGACATTAAGGTGTAGACTTCTCTCTCTTTACAGTCCATCCACTCGTTCAGGTCTTTACTGTTGAAAGGAGAAGAATGTCTCTTCTTCAGGATCTCTGCGAGCACAGCCTCCTCTTCTCCTCCTCCTCGGATTGATGGAAGTTTCTTTGAAAGTGTTCGTTGGAATTCTAGCTTGAACTCAGAGCACATCTCTTTAAAGCTTTTAATCTTTTTGCCAATCTGTGGGAACTGCTGTGCGGTGGTGGTTCTCATTGTGTCATTGCACCTCATTTCCAGCTCACTGAAGTCCTCCAGGACTCTCTGTGATTCCTGAACTAATCCTATACTTATCTGACGGACCAGTTTTGCAGCAGAAGAATCTAAACTTGTCAGTGGCAACAGCCAGACTTTCATCGGTACAGCCTTTTCTCCGTTGGCTCCCAGTAATCTTGGCAGGCTTTGGTAGACTTCTACTGCATCCTGAAAGGACACAGGACTTTTTTCAAGAGAAAAGTCTCCAAAGAATCTGCAGGAGAATTTCTCAACATTTGCTCGGTCCTTGTCTTCCAGTTTCAGGGAACCTTCACCCTCTATTGCAAGGCAGGGAATCTTCTTGATCATAACTTTCAAGTTCCCCTCAATGTCTTGATGATCTTCTTTTTTAGACACCTCACGGTCAAAGACAAAGAAGGCTTGTGCCCCATAAAGAATGGCTGTGACTACATGTGTTGCTAATCCTTTATCAAAGACATATGAATGCTTCATATTGTCTCTTCCAAGGTGATCCATCGACAGTTCCTGGAACTTTGTGGTAGCCTTGTACTTCAGAGTTACTCTGGCCTGATTTTTGGAAATCTTACTGTCGTTCAGGTATTTGGCCGATCCATCAACCTCAACCAGTCCACTCAAGAAACTTGCCTTCAGGGAAGCTTCAACGTTTAGTGCTGAAGATTTGTCCTCAATTGATTCAGATGCAACGATCTCAAAATCATTATAGTTCTGAGGTCTTTCTTGTACATATTTTATCAGGTCATCATGGTCCCACAGTGTAATTCCTGCAAAAGAAGAAGCAAAATTCAAGTTCAGCTTCCAGACCCAGACAGACAGGAGAAGAAGAAAGTGATTAGGATAAAGATTATTGTTAGCAGCATATTGTTTGGTAGAAAGAAGATTTAAAGAAGTTTGAACCTTTTCACAGCAAGCATTGTGTCAGGAAAAAGATGTTGCGGTTCTATTTCACATGTAATCTTTGAATGGCTTCAGCCTTGAGCTCATACTGACTTTTTATTTTAATAAACTAGAAAAGTAAAATATGTTACGATGCAGCAGGAAACTACCAGTGAGTGATTACAACAATAAAAATATAATATAACCCCGAAAGTTTGGTTGTGATGCATTAAGTATCTTCACATGTGAATCCTTACCAGGGACAAGTGAGTCTCTGCGGCAGTCGTACAACATCCCGAGGTTGAAAGGCCGGCCGAGTGCCGCCACCTCCATCGTCCCGCCAGCTTCAGACTCCATCCTTCTGTCTAGACTATTAAAAACAGTATACGTTAGCACACTACTGCAACTCTTTTGCTATCCAAACCCCATAATTCCAAATGAAATAATTGAAACCCAGAGTTGAGACCAGGAGGCAGAGTCGCATTTTAACACACTTCTCTGCTCCTCCATTCCAGGAGTTACTTAGTGAAAATCCTATAGTGACGGTGTCTGCCCCCCGACCATTGAAATTATTTAAAAAGGTAAACAGAAGGGGAGCTGTGCATAAAAACCTCATAAAAATTAAAACCACAAGAGCAATAGTGCAAACGAATAGGAGAGTTAAATGTGGACACTTAAACATCAGATCTCTCTCTTCTAAAGGTGTACTAGTAAATGAACTAATATCAGATTATGATATTGATTTATTTGGTCTTACTGAAACCTGGCTGGGTGATGGAGAATATGTTAGCCTAATTGAATCCACCCCTCCCAGTCATATTAATACTCACATTCCTCGAGGCACAGGCCGAGGAGGTGGAGTTGCAGCTATCTTCGACTCTAGCCTACTAATCAGCTCTAAACCTAAACCAAACTATAACTCATTTGAAAGTCTTGTTCTTAGTCTTTCGCACCCAAGTTGGAAATCACTGCAACCAATTCTCTTCGTTATAGTGTACCGAGCACCTGGCCCGTATTTTGAATTCTTATCTGAATTTGCAGAGTTTTTGTCAACTTTAGTCCTTAAAACTGACAAAGTTATTATTGTAGGGGATTTTAATATTCATGTGGACGTTGAGAATGACAGCTTTAGTACTGCGTTTATCTCTCTGTTAGATTCCATTGGCTTCTCTCAGAGTGTTCATGAACCGACTCACTGTTTTAACCACACCCTCGACCTTGTTTTGGTGTATGGTATTGAAATTGAACATTTAGTGGTGTTCCCACAGAATCCCTCTTTGTCCGACCACTGTTTGATAACTTTTGAGTTTGTATTGCTGAACTACTCGCCATTGGGCAAAAATTTCTATACAAGATGTCTGTCTGATAGTGCTATAGCTAAATTTAAGGATGCGATTCCATCAGCTCTAAATACATTATCTAGTCACAAAGTAACGGAGGACTCCTATGCTAATTTCAGTCCCTCCCAAAGCGATCATCTTGTTGATAGTGCTGCAGGCTCGCTGCGAATGACACTCGACTCTGTAGCCCCTCTAAAAAAGAAAATACTAAAACAAAGACGGTTAGCTCCATGGTATAATACTGAAACTCGCAAATTAAAGCAAATATCGCGGAAACTTGAGAGGAATTGGCGTTCCACCAAAGTGGAAAATTCTCGTTTAATTTGGCAAGATAGTCTTAAAACTTATAGGAAGGCCCTCCGTAATGCTAGAGCAGCGTACTACTCGTCATTAATAGAGGAAAATAGGAACAACCCCAGGTTTCTTTTCAGCACTGTAGCCAGGCTGACAGAGAGTCACAGCTCTATTGAGCCAAGTATTCCCATAGCTCTCAGTAGTTACGACTTCATGAGCTTCTTTAATGAAAAAATTCTAACTATTAGAAACAAAATTCACCAAGACCTGCCCTCAACTGGCACCGACTTATCTCTTAACTCAGGAACCTTAGAAACAGCTGTAGAACCAGATACATGTTTAGACTGTTTTGCTTCCCTCAATCTTTACCAACTAACTTCAATAATTTCTTCATCTAAACCATCAACCTGCCTCTTAGACCCCATCCCGACTAGGTTGCTTAAAGAAGTTTTACACCTAGTCAGTGTTGAGAATATTTCTTAAGGGGCTTTGTGTTTTAAAATATGGGGAGAAGATGGATTTTAATCAGTGCGATTGTGATTTTTCATTTTATCAATGTCACCATGAATATACACTTAAACAGTACTAAACTACTACTTATCAGATTTCCAGCAGTATACTTTTGCTGAAAAATAGGATCTTAAGGTTTGACTCAAAAATGACATCTTAAGTGACTTTTAAAGTTACTGTTTTTAGGTTTTAAGCGTAATGCAAATTGAGAAAAGCCTCAAAATAGCAATCAGAGGAAAACTCACAGATGCACTTGCTAAATCAATCATACAAACATTACAATTATCTGAGTACATAAGAACCATTGCCAGAAGCAAACAGAGCCTCATTCTACAACGGACACATCTGCAACACCGCACTTGATTAACCGAAACAAACCATGTGTGCTCACCACTGAACGTCTTCCCAAAGAATTAACCTCACTGTGCGTTTTGTCTGTGTCGAGTGCAGCCTGCAGCTGCCCCCAGAACCTATTATTCCTCCTTCTCGGAGTCGCTGCATAGGTTAAACCACCAGCCATTTTGAATTCTCAAATCTACAAACCAACCACTATTTTATTATTTATTTAAATTTTTCCCTCTGGGTTTGATGGTTCCAAGCACCAGGTCACAGCGGATGACCTGTACAAATGATAGCACAGTCAGCACTTCTGTACTATATTTTACTCTATGATTAATCTATCTTTATCAACAGGCTATGTACCACAGTACTTTAAAGTAGCTGTCATTAAACCTCTTCTGAAAAAGCCTGTGCCGACGAGGCAGTTTTCGGCTGTGATTCCCAGAGCTCTATCACCAGAGAAGAGCTCATGAAAATCAGGGGAACAACTCCAGCGGATTTCCCACTTTTCTGGCATCATCAGTGGAATTATTGGACATTTTGGTGAACAGCACGCTCGCTGTTGTTCGGGCTAGGAAGCGCCGTAAGAGAGGGAAACGAGCCGGGTCGCTCTTGCGCCTCCGCTGGCGGGGACTCTGCACACCTTCACGGAGCCCTAGCTGTGTGGATCAATACCGGACTCCACGCTGCAGCTCGCTGGCTTCCAACTCTACAGAGCGGATCGTGACTCAGAACTCTCCGGCAAAACAAAAGGTGGAGGTGTCTGTTTTTATATTAACAAAATCACTGTTAAAAACACATCTCTTCTTTGGCATTTCCTTCGTGTTAAGTCTGTTATTATTCCTGGCAATTTTAATATCACTATATATTGTATACTGTATATTTAAATGTTTTATTGCTGTACTTTTACTGTGTGAGTAGTGTCTTGTTGTTGTATTTAACCTGTGAAGCACCTTGGTCTTAAGTGTGCTATATAAATAAAATTGATATTGAACAATGGTGTACCGACTTGACAGTGATTCAGCAGCACTGTTCTCCTAATCTGGAATTTCTTATCATTAACTGTAAACCGTTTTACTCCCCCCATGAGTTTGCTTCATTCATTCTGGTCGGTGTTTACGTTCTGCCGCACGCCAACGTGCACGACGCACAGCGCATGCTGGCCGAACAGATACTGTGTGTGGAGCAGACAAACCCAGACTCCCTTGTTATTGTTCTTAGTGACTTTAACAAAGGAAACCTCAGCCAAGAACTCCCCAAATACAGACAGTTTATAAAGTGTCCAACCAGAGAGGGGAACACACCCTGGGTTCACAAATAAACTCAGACAGCTGAGGTTGGAAAAGTGGCGACCAGGCCAGGTTTAAGGAGTCAAAGTACAGGTTTAGCAAGGCGGTGCGAATGCTAAACAGCTGTATGCAGAGAGACTACAACAACAGTTCTCAAGGAATGACTCTGCTTCTGTCTGGAGAGGATTCAGACAGATCACCAGCTACAAACCTAAATGACTCGCGCCTTGCCAATGAGCTGAACCAGTTTTACTGTCGCTTTGAAAGACAATGGGACAGACCTGACACCATCACCCGTCACACCGCTGATCGGCCACAGTCCACCATCTTATCCCCCTCTCTTACCATCCTGGAGAGGGACGTCAACAGACTGTTCAGGAGGCAGAAAACCCGCAAAGCAGCTGGGCCGGACTCTGTCTCCCCATCCATCCTGAAGCACTGTGCTGATCAGCTCTCTCCGATGTTGACAGACATTTTTAACACCTCACTGGAGATGCCATGTGCCAGCCTACTTCAAAGCCTCCACCATCATCCCTGTCCCCAAAAAAGCAAGGACCACAGGACTAAACGACTACAGACCCGTCGCCCTGACCTCTGTGGTTATGAAGTCTTTCGAGCGCCTCATTCATCTTTTCAGAACGAACGACAATCAGTGTAAACCTCTTGTAGGTCGTAGCTGAAGAAAGAAGCAAGCTAACTTTAGATGGCCAATGCTGAGCTAAACATGTTTTCTCACCACAGGTTACTGACCTATTTGTGTTCAGCGCTTCTTTGTTTGGGTCTTGTTTTATGAAGTTTTAAAGCCAAAGTTTATGATGAATGGCTCAGCAGCCGCCAGTGTTTGTTGTCCTCTCTCACGTACGGCCGCGCGCAGCAGATGTTTCGTGTTACCTAGGCAGGTTATAGGTAACAGAGGGAGGGGAATAACGGCAAGCGAGTTCACGAGTCCGGCACCTCGAGTCCGAGTCGAGTCTGAAGGCTTTTGAGGACGAGTCTGAAGACATGTCTGAAGTCACTGTGTGTGACTTAAGTCGCACTCGAGTCCGGGTCTCTAACTCGAGTCCCCATCTCTGAGTCACACACATTTATTTATAACGTTACAGCATTTATTTAAATGAAAGGACAACAAACTTTTCAAGACCTTTTTTTAAATGAAATTTAATACTTTAATGCTTTTAATGCCTTATTTTTAGAATATTAAATTGAAGACTTTTTAAATACTTTTATGACTCTGCGGTTACCCTGGTCTAAACAAAATGATTTTTCCTTGTAAAGCAAATATTTTTTCCCCTATAGTCTGACGATTTGATGACTGACCATGGTGTTGATCACTTGGTCATCCATGTTACTGTTTGGAAGCTACTGTAGATCCAGACATCTGCTTGATATCTACAGTATTGGATCAAATATTTTGACCCTGTAATCCACGTTATGCTAGGCTTGGACATTGCTGGAAATTGTTCTGAATTCCCCCTCCTTAAAGGGTGAATTATTACCATAATAATTTAATAAGGCATTAGATTTAATTAGCCCTTACCTACAGTACTGGTCCTGCCAAGCTGGACACGCAGTCTGAGTCTCATGTCTAATGACAGGGGTGAATATGGAGATGTTTGTTGTTTCCTTTATTGTGGAATCTCTGTATGAAAGCAGGTTGTGTTTCGGATTATGCTGACTCATGAGTTCAAGAACGCGTACGAGCACACACCTGGTTACAATCTTCAAACTACATTGCTAATGGCTGCTGAAAACTACTTATTGCCGCTTTAATTGATTTTCCTGCACAATTGTGGACATGCAATGAGAAGAGGAAATTTGCAGTGTGAATTTGCATACTGTAAAATAGAAAATGACAAACTGAATAGCTGACTCTTTTCTTTTTCCAAAATAAAAGAAAATAATACACAGACAAAAGAACAGAAAAGCAGAAGTAAAGTACGTACTTGTCAGTAACTGCCCCACGGACTTCAAGTCTGGAACAACGTACGCTTTCCCCTAAAAGAAGATAAATTAAATGATCATGGTCAGTTAACTGGTAATGTATACATTCCAAGTTCACAGAATAAACCATTTACTTCATAAGAAGTTGCAGAAAGTAATAATACTATTCTGGCAACAATGTTTCAGGAGAACAAGCTGTTAACAAATCATTGACATATCATCAAACAAAAAGTTGTTATGAGATCAGAGAGCTGCTCATTGCATTCAGCAGATACAGAGCAATATTATCATCCCATTGGAGTTGTAAATCCAAAACAATGACTGTGTTGTTATCCCATTAAAACATATTAAAAACTCAGCTCTGGATCTGTCTGGATCTGCGCCATCCTAGTCTACCAATACTTATGTTATTACCACTACATTACATCTCTGTAAAATTTGCATTGCACTGTATAAATGAAAAAGAACCCTTTTACCTGTAAATGTCGTTGTGCAGACATTAACAGAGATGCTCTCCTTGCTTCTTCCAGCTTTACCACAGTCACATCTGACCCTGACAACATATTCTGTCTCTGGCTGAAGCCCTGAAATGATCGCCTTTTCAGCTCTCGACATCATTTGCTTCCATTGGAGATCTTCCTCTTTCACCCCGTTGTCTGTTTTGGCGTACTCCACGATGTAGCTCAAAATCTGGACATCTTGTCCAAGCTCAGCAGGTTTCTCCCAGCTGACTGAGATCTCACTTGAGTTTGGTTCAACCTGAAGTTCTCCAGGAGGGCTGCAAGGTAAGGTTTTAATGGAACCACTGGCTTCATTGGCCGGCCCAACACCTGCTGAGGTCACTGCTCTGCATCTGAACATATACTCTGTGTTAGGACTCAGATGGCTCACTGTGACTTCTCCAGCTTTTGATGCTGTCTCTTGTTGCCATCCATCCTCTCCTCTGACACAGTACTCTACAGAGTAGGAGGTGATGTTCTCTGCTCCAAATCTGGGCGCAGAAATCTTCAGTGTCACACTGTTGTGCTTTATGTCACTTGCTGTTACTGTTTCAGGCTTTGAAGGCGGCTCAAAGTTCTCATTGACAGAAAAGCCGTCTTCATAAAGGTAGATGCTTGAACCTTTCTGTGTCTCATTTGTTAATCCCACTGTCAGGAACTTTATGTTCTTGTTCTCCTTGTTGGCCTCTGCAAAGTCACTGAAGAGCTTTGCTTTATTCCTCATTGCATCTGTTATTTCTTTTGAGGTGAACCATTGTTCCTTCTCTACATCTTGAGGGTCGTCTGCTTCGGGTGTTTGTTTTAAGTAGTTAGATAAAGCTGAGAGGTACGGTTCAGCACTTCCCAGGGAGGTGAAAACAAAACACACAGCATGCTCTGCACTGAGGGTTTCTTCACTAAGAACATTCTGAGAGGGGACGATCTTGGTGTTTTTCATCATGTTGGTTAAAGACATTAAGGTGTAGACTTCTCTCTCTTTACAGTCCAACCACTCGTTCAGGTCTTTGCTGTTGAAAGGAGAAGAATGTCTCTTCTTCAGGATCTCTGCGAGCACAGCCTCCTCTTCTCCTCCTCCTCGGATTGATGGAAGTTTCTTTGCCAGATTTTGTTGGAATCCCAGCTTGAACTCAGAGCACATCTCTTTAAAGCTTTTAATCTTTTTGCCAATCTGTGGGAACTGCTGTGCGGTGGTGGTTCTCATTGTGTCATTGCACCTCATTTCCAGCTCACTGAAGTCCTCCAGGACTCTCTGTGATTCCTGAACTAATCCTATACTTATCTGACGGACCAGTTTTGCAGCAGAAGAATCTAAACTTGTCAGTGGCAACAGCCAGACTTTCATTGGTACAGCCTTTTCTCCGTTGGCTCCCAGTAATCTTGGCAGGCTTTGGTAGACTTCTACTGCATCCTGAAAGGACACAGGACTTTTTTCAAGAGCAAAGTCTCCAAAGAATCTGCACGAGAATTTCTCAACATTTGCTCTGTCCTTGTCTTCCAGTTTCAGGGAACCTTCACCCTCTATTGCAAGGCTGGGAAACTTCTTGATCATCACCTTCAAGTTCCCCTCAATGTCTTGATGATCTTCTTTTTTAGACACCTCACGGTCAAAGACAAAGAAGGCTTGTGCCCCATAAAGAATGGCTGTGACTACATGTGTTGCTAATCCTTTACCAAAGACATATGAATGCTTCATATTCTCTCTTCCAAGGTGATCCATTGACAGTTCCTGGAACTTTGTGGTAGCCTTGTACTTCAGAGTTACTCTGGCCTGATTTTTGGAAATCTTACTGTCGTTCAGGTATTTGGCCGATCCATCAACCTCAACCAGTCCACTCAAGAAACTTGCCTTCAGGGAAGCTTCAACATTTAGAGCTGAAGATTTGTCCTCAATTGATTCAGATGCAACAATCTCAAAGTCAGTGTTCGGTTTTGGTCTTTCTCCTTTATCTTTTTCCAGGTCATTGCGGTCCCACAGCGTAATGCCTGCCAAAAAGAAGAGGAGAAGTCAAACTGCCTTTTATTGCATGATAGTAAGGCATAGCTTTTAGACACAAAATCAGAGAAACACTACTTTGGCTTTTCTATAAGAACTTCTTCTGTGTTATAAAGAGGATCAATTCACAAATTAAAATAGCTTCTTCCTGACATGCTTTAAAACAAAACATGTTGGTAATCTCTATCAGAACAAGAGACACATGATTTTCAGATAATTAAAATGAAGCAAAAGTGATCAAACGATCTGAGATGAAAATTTTGTTGAATGTGGCTTTAAATCCTGAAAGTTTTAAGTATCTTCACATGTGAATCCTTACCAGGGACGAGAGAGTCTTTGCGGCAGTCGTACAACATCCCGAGGCTGAAAGGCCGGCCGAGCGCCGCCACCTCCATCGTCCCGCCGGCTTCAGAGTCCATCGCTCAGTCTGAACTGGACAAAATGGACAACAGCTTGTTAGTTCATTTCTCTGACACTTCTCTGTGTGATGGCCACATCAGGAATTTAAAATATTTGGTAATATCACGTCCAGACACCCTCACATTTTCACTTTAATTTTGACCTTTTCTCTCATTTAATTTTAAGTTAAAGGAAACTTTCATATAAAACAACAAACATTGTTTTTGCATTTAAAGCAACTATAATGCATTTTTTATAATAATGTGAAAACAATGGAATAATGTGTCGGTGTCTCTGAATTATCAGCTGAATCTGCAACTTCTCTGCTTTATGGAACTTTATCGGGACTTTCAGCAGATAGAAACAAACAGCAGATAGACACAGTTAGAGAGCATCTGGTGAACACAGTGCAGCATTTAGCGGCGATAGAGCCAGATATTTCCCTCAGGAGCTGCTGGAGACCGAACACAGAGCTATCAGAGACAAACATGACTCCACATGAAGCATCATGTTACTCTGTAGCTGCTGGAGGTGGAAATAAGCTGCTGTTTGATCACAAGTTCTATATATCAACTTGAGGATGAAACTTATTTCATGTTCAAGTTGCTTTCCATGTGCCTCTCCTCTCATCCCACACCGCAGTCCGACCACTCTAAAGAAAGCTCAGCTTCTGCTCTGTTCTGCTCAAATCACTCAAGTAATTAGCCAACTAATAACAACAACAAATGCAGCAATATACATTTACAGTTACAACCGCTGACTTACTTTTGTTGTTTTCGCTGTTTTCAGTCCAAAAACCGCTGTTATTCTGTGTCAATAGAGCCCTACGCCGCGTGCCGCCATCTTGGTGAGGTCCGTGAGCTGCTAAATTTCGTTTCTGTCATCAAATTGAAGGAGAGCAGAAGAGTTACTTTGGGGGAGGCGGTCTTTATTGGCCTCTACTGGCCGACCCGTAGGAGCTACACAGACATGCAGTATACCAATCCACTTGTCTCTTCAATACAAAGAGAAAGAGCCCATTTACTTGCCCTGTTCTGTTTTCAACTTGTGCACCTGTAAAGCATGGGAGTTCTTTCGGTCATAGGAATGTTGATCAATATTCACTGTTTTTATCAGTATTGCAGTGTTTTAGAAGCTTTATGTTATTTGGAATGTGGTTGTATGGAGAGAAATAGTGTTTTGAAGAAAACTCCCAATAAAAGTGAACATATAAACAGTAATATGGCCAAAACATGAACATTCGCCTGGTATATTTTTAAAATACTGTGTAATTACTGTTGCATATTAGTTTCTTTTCATCAAATATTAGAAGATATTCAGTTGCATTATAATGAGTTGGATGATGATTTTGATGGTTTATTGCATAAAAAATATAGCTTTTTTACCAGGCGGGGATGAAAATAGATTTTCCTATATTGCATCTCCATTTACTCTTTAATAGAAAAATAAATAGGTTCAGTTGATTCATATTCCTCTGACCTTTCAAAGGAGACCAGAATTATGCACCATACCTAATGGTTGAGGAGTTATTACTGATTTACTTTGGGTATGTTATTTGCGTTTTTTGTGGAAATAGGTGGCAGGTACCATGTGGTTAAATATAATTGTCCTCTCACAGGATCAGTGGGTTAGCCAGCTAACTTTTGGGTAACTCGGTTAACTCTATTTTTCCAGTCTCACAAAGACAGATGAGTTCACACTTTGGCTCACAATGTCCGATGCCATGGCGCTGGTAATAATAGCTTGGGGAATAACTTTTGAGGGGGGAGGGGAGGCAGTGGTGAACTAGCTCTTACCCCGTTAGACATTGGATAGCTGCCTCTTGTAGCCTGCGACACTCAGCCCTAGGCCGGAGGGGGCGTCTTTGAGGAGAATCAAAGCAAAATGGAACACGTCTTGGCGATGAAGACCGTGGGCCCCCAGTTAGTTTTGTGAGTTTGGTGGGCGGGGCTTAGCAGACTGATGCGAGGAACGTTTTGCATTGTATGTTCAATTGTTATCGACTGCTGCTTTAAATCAGAACACCTACCTGTTTGGTTTCAGTACATTTCAGGGGGTTGGAAGTTGTTTCTGCAGCTGCAGACTGAAGTCCCAACAATGGAGCCTGAAGGCTGATTCACATCATCAGTTGAGTTCTAACAGCAGCACGGAAGGGATTCTACTGATCGCCAAAGAGACAAAGAGAAAAGGCTTTTAGAGGTAACTGACGTGTTTCACTGTTTGTGCAGGTAATGATTGCTATGGATGCTGGAGTGTAAGGCAAGGCAAGGCAAGACAAGTTTATTTGTATAACACATTTTAACAACAAGGTAATTCAAAGTGCTATACATAAAACATAGAAGCAACAGGGAAATATAAAAAAGTTTAAAAGCAACATAAAATATAATAAAAGTTACAGTGTTACAATCAGGGTTAAAAGAGTTAAATGGAAAAAAGCAATGATTAAAAGCTAAAAACAAAGAAATAGAAAACAGGACAGTAAAAGTTACAGTGCAGTGTAAGTGCAGTGAAAAAGAAAAGTCTTCAGCCTTAATTTAAAAGAACTGACTGTTTCAGCAGACCTGCAGTTATCTGGGAGTTTGTTCCAGATATACGGAGCATAATAACTGAACGCTGCTTCTCCTTGTTTAGATTTGATTCTGGGGACAGAAAGCAGACCTGGTCCCAGACGACCTGAGAGGTCTGGATGGTTCGTAACGAAGCAGAAGATCGGAAATGTATTTTGGCCCTAAACCATTTAGTGCTTTATAAACTAACAGCAGGATTTTGAAATAAATTCTTTGACATACAGGAAGCCAATGTAAAGACATCAGAACTGGAGTGATGTGATCCACCTTTTTGGTCTTAGTGAGGACTCAAGCAGCATCCTTCTGTATCAGCTGCAGCTGTCTAATGGATTTCTTAGGGAGCCCTGTAAGGACACTGTTACAGTAGTCGAGTCGACTGAAGATAAATGCATGGATAAGCTTTTCCAGGTCCTGCTGAGACATAAGTCCTTTAATCCTTGATATATTCTTCAGGTGATAGTAGGCTGACTTTGTAATTGTCTTAATGTGGCTCCTCAAATTCAGGTCTGAGTCCATAACCACACCAAGATTTCTGGCTTGATTTGTGGTTCTTAACATTACAGATTGAAGTCGAGCACTGACTTTCAATCGTTTCTCCCTGGCTCCAAAAACAATAACTTCAGTTTTATCCTTGTTTAACTGAAGCAAATTCTGGCACATCTAATCATTGACCTGCTCAATACAGTTACTCAGCGCCTGTATGGGATCATAGTCCCCTGGTGAAATGGTAAATGTAAATCTGTGTGTCATCTGCATAATTATGGTAACATATTTTGTTGTTTTTCATAATCTGAGCCAGTGGAAGCATGTAAATGTTAAACACAAGAGGTCCCAAAATGGAGCCTTGGGGAACTCCACATGTATTTTTGTCAGCTCAGATGTGTGATTACCTATAGACACAAAGTAGTCCCTGTCCTTTAAATAGGATTCAAACCAGTTTAGTACTGTGCCAGAAAGTCCAACACAGTTTTCAAGTCTGTCTAGTAATATGTTGTGGTCGACCGTGTTGAATGCAGCACTGAGATCCAATAATACTAAGACTGAAATTCTGCCACTGTCAGTGTTTAAATGGATGTCATTGAAGACCCTAACAAAAGCCGTCTCAGTGCTGTGGTGTGGTCGAAAACCTGACTGGAAGACATCAAAACAGTTATTTAGTGCCAAGAAAGCACTAAGCTGTTGAAAAACAGGGGAGTTTGATATGGGCCTATAATTGCTCATTAGTGACCTGTCTAGATTGCTCTTTTTTTAAGAGTGGCGTAATGACTGCCGTTTTCAGGGCCTGTGGGAAAAAACCTGAGAGGAGAGACATGTTGACAATTTGTAGTAAATCTGAGACCATGCATTTAGAAACATTTTAGAAAAAACCTGTTGGCAGAATGTCAAGGCAGCGTGAGGAGGATTTCAGATGTTGTATTATGTCCTCCAGGTTTTTATGGTTAATAGAATCAAATTGTCTCATGCTATATGAATTGTTTTTCAGTGGACACAGGGACAAGACATATCCTGTTACTGACATGGAGGCACTGATTGCTTGTCTCATTGTTTTGAATTTTGTCTGTGAAGAAGGAAGCAAATTCATTGCAGGCCCTGGTGGATAGAAGGTCAGAGGCTACAGACACAGGAGGGTTGGTTAGCCTGTCCACAGCAGCAAACAGGGCACGTGCATTATTAATGTTTTTGGTGATGATGTCAGAGAAGAAGGACCGCCTTGCATTTCTCAGCTCTAAATTATAAATGTGAAGTCTCTCTTTATAGATGTCATAATGAACCTGGAGATTTGTTTTCCGCCACCTGCGTTCAGCTTTTCGACGCTCTCTTTTTTGAGTTTCTAACCAGCGTGGCATTTCTCCATGGAGATCTTCTCTTACCAGAGACCACCTTCACCTTGGCTGGTGCAATGGCATCAATAACATTTGTAATTTTAGAATTGAAATCATCTACAAGTGTTTTCAGTGATATGCCGTTTTGTGATCACCTCTGTTTGTACATTTGTGTGCACGCAGACAGCACTCTCAAAGAAAACACAGGAATGATCAGAGAGAGCAACATCAGTCACCACAACCTTGGAAATGTCCAGACCCTTGGAGATGACCAAGTCCAAAGTGTGCCCCTTATTGTGTGTGTGCCTCGTCACATGTAGTTCTTTAGTCCCTCTGTCCTGGGGGTTGTCAACATGGATGTTAAAATCCCCAACAATAACCACACAGTCAAAGTCAATACAGATTATAGACAGCAGTTCACCAAATTCATCAAAAAAAGTTTGCACAGTATTTAGGGGGCCTGTAGATATTTAGAAAAATTGCTCGAGAAGAGGAATTCAGCTTTAGAGCCACATATTCAAAAGAATCAAAATTCCCATAAGACATCTTTTTGCATTGGAGGGAGTCATTAAACTAAATGGCAACTCCACCTCCCCTCTTATGGACTCTAGCTTCACTATAAAACTGAAGTTGGGAGGGGTAGACTCGATAAGGACAGCTGCACTGTTATCTTGGTCCAACCAAGTTTAAGTTAAAAACATGAAATTAAGATTGTGAGTTATTATAAAATCATTGATTTAAAATGTTTTTCCTGCCAAAGACCTAACGTTTAACAAAGCTAATTTTAGTGTGTTAAAAACGTTATCTGGCCCACTTTTTGACAGGCTGCGGCTGACGAGGAATTAATACTAAATGTGCAGGATATGTTGAGTGCTTCCTGTTTCTTAACACATTCACCGTGCTTTTTCTGTTACCTGTCAAGACAGGGATGGAGAAGACTACCTGCACACTGGGCCCCGGCTTGTCCTGGGAAGAGTCATGAGTGCTATTTTCCTTGTAGCCTGGACCCAGCACATATCAGACAGAGCTTACTGGGCTTTTTCGCCATTGTGGAGCGGGAGGACGGGTTGGGCGCTGTACTTTTGACAGATGTGTCAAACCTGGAGGACTTAGAACCAGAGGTGGAGGTGGACGGTGAGGGGGGTTTAGGGTAGAGAAAATGGGAGTGGAGCGAGGGAAGGTGCGGGGAGTAAATTTGGTCCCAGCTCTAACCAGGTCTTCCATGTGATCAGTGAAGTCCAACAGGGGGGAGAGGGAGAAAGTCTGTCTGAAGGTGGGGATTGGGGGGTAGAGATGTTGAATCCTCACTGTCGGTTTTCAGTGAGGGAGGTGGAGACTCTTCCTCTTGGCTCAGATGTCTCCAGTGATCAGAGCTCTCTTCCGGCGGGGGCTGAGGTGGCTCTCCTTCAAGGTTTCTGGCGTGTTGTGTTGTGTCTTCTTCTTGTTTAGATTCCTCTTGTCTCTTGTCCTTGGCAGAGGGAACAGATGAGTGATGCAGAAAGTAAAACAGTTTGGAGCTGAACAATTTTACTCCTGACTTGTTAAGGCGAAGTCTATCTGCCTTAAAAAGATGCCTGCGGTCCCACAGAAAGTGAAAGTTTTCGATGAAATGCACTGAATGGACAGTACATGCTGTTGAGAGCCACGTGTTCAAGCCATCAATCTGCTGAATCTCTCAGCTCCTCTTCGGTTGGCGGTATAGGGCCACTGATAAACACCTCAGCATTCAGAGAGCTGACTGTGTTCAACAGATTATTAAAATCCTCTTTCAACACTTCAGACTGTTTCACAACATCATTGGTCCCGATGTGCAGTATGATGTTTTTCACAGCAGGATGTTCAGCCACGATATGCAGGATTCTTTCTGCCAAGTCAGACACCGTATCCTTCGGAAAGCAGAGTATTTGGTGTTCTTACTGCACATGCTTCTTACATCGTTTACGGCAGAGTCACCCACAATCAGAGTTTGAGGCCCAGTCGTTAGCTTTCCCTGCAGCCTTTTACTTTCTGATTTGCTCTCAGTCCTTACCCTTCTGTGTGAGGACAGGATGTTATCCAGGTCATCAGACAGAGATCCAGGTTCCTGCAGTAGTGGTGAAAATCTGTTCTGCTGTTGCACACTCGGTTGTTGGGGAGGTTTGTTGCTAACTCTCCCTTTCGCAGCTGTCCACAGCTGTGTCCTACCAAGAACAGGGGTTGAAGAGGCGTTCTGCCTGGATGATAATGCAGGCCAGCCAGTCGCATCACAAATCTCAGGGCGCTGGGTTCTGCCTGTTACTGGTTCTCTCGAGTTCCAGGGAGGACTCCCACTTTCAGATTTATTACCCCGTACACAGGCCTCCTGCTTCTTGGTAGCCTTGTTGGTGCTAATTAGCTGTGTGTTAGCATGCTCTTGTCCACTGTTTTAGGTCCACGGTAAAGTGGTGTCATTCCCTCATAGTCCATTCACTTCCACATTCACTTCCAACCTGTGGATCTTGGTTTCCAGCACTGCAATTTTCTGTAGAAGTTTGTAGAAGTCGTCCGTGGAGAAGGGGGGCATCTTGTTGCTAATTAGCATTAGCTATAACTCCAGTCACTGCAGTACAGGCTAGTGCTATTGATAGGCCGCACTCGCGTAGCACTAAGATCATAAAAGGTTTTAAAGTATGGCAAGAGCCAACTTTATCTGACAGTCCCAGTGATTTAAAAGTATCCAAGAGCTGCTGATTTCTAGCACGAAAAACAAAAAAGAGAGTTTAAGCAAAAGAATGCAAGGAGAGGCAAGAGCAAGCAGCGTCTGCACTGTAAGAAAGCAGGAAGGAGTCACTTCCCTAAACCCATTAAAGATCAGGACAGAGCCGCTAACATAGACTGTATAAAAGAAGTGGACGTAGCCACCATGATGTCACCCACTGGTCTGTGGACTGGCGTTTTGAAGGCGTACATTTTTTCAAGGGTTAGGGTTAGCCAATCACAGGCAGAGTAAGGGGGCAGGACTTAACACAAAGTTTGTGTCCATCAGGTGAGAGTTGTTCAAAATCTGGTGAAAAAAAACAACAACAACAAATTTCCAAACCTCGAGACGTACCGATTGGTTGTCACCAGTTGTTTTGGAACCAGAAGTGACCATATTTGGATGAGAGGGGGGAACTGGGGAGGGATACGCATTTCCACGCCTGACAGGTTGCCATGGTAGCAACTTGTCAATCACAACATTGTCCCGCCCTAAAGCCTCCCCTGCTTCCTGGTCTCTGTTCCTCTAAATGGGACCATAATTTACTAAATGAACATCATGCTGTGTTGAAGAAGACTTGAAACTAGCGACTGAGACCAGAAACTCATCAGGAAAGTGTTTACTGAGGAAACGAATAGGGCTGCAAGGATTAGTTGACGTAATCGACGATAAAAATTTGTTGACGTGAAATTTCATTGTTGACGAATCGAGTGAGGCTGTTTAAGGGAGAGATAACGAACTTCTTATTAAGAACATTTGCTCTTGGAAATCTATTGTGTAATAGATAAAACATGTCATGGAGCATTACAACATGAGACAAGATTGGCACGATTTTCAAAATAAAACATCCTGTGCAGACTTCTGATCGTGTATCAACAATAAACAGAGTTAAAACAGACAATTTATCTGTGTAGCCTACTTAACCATGGAGAAGCATTAAAGCTTTGTGAGCGGCAGAATAAGCATCATGGACCTATGACCTTTGTCCCTCTTTCAGCCTGCTCTGTCATTTGTGACTGTAGCCTGTGCACAAAGTGTTTCTTCCTTTAATCTCAGGTCATGCAGTGTAATCACCTTTAATAAGTAACTAGAACAGAAAACTGTTTGTGTGGAAAGAACATAGATAAGAGGGGTGTGTCCGCACATCTGATACACGTCTTGATACATCCTTGCTTTGTTCTGTTCAAGCTTTCCTTTGGAGACATAATTAGTGGACACAATACTGCTATTGTTTCATAAGTAAAGCCTTTATGTACAAGGCTTCGTCTCGAGGTCCTAAGATGACTTTGCTTTCAAGGTGCTTAAACTGTTAAATGAATTAACATTAACAATCCACAGCTACTGTATTTTCTTATAAACATAGATAAAAACACACTTTTCAAAACAGGCTGGTGATGGAGCAGTGGATAAGACACATGCCTCTGGTGTGACAGACTCGGCTTCAAATCCACTGTGAGACACCAATGTGTCCCTGAGCAAGACACTCAACCCCTCGTTGCTCCAGAGGCGTGCGACCTCTGACATGTATAGCAATTGTAATTCGCTTTAGATAAAAGCGTCCACTAAATTAATAAATGTAAATTTACTGAAAAGTGCTTAACAAATAAACATATTATTATTAGTATTGTTCATATGTGTGTTAGCTTGGTCTGATTGTTGAGGCTGGATATGTCAATTCAATAAAAGCTGGATTCGAATGTATCTGTACCAACAAGTTGTTCAGCCTAAACCTACAAACGACGATTTAGTTAGCTGGATCGTGGTCTAGCCCCATGTATGGTACATTCAACTCACAGAGCTAAGTGTCTGATTTTCTAAAAAAACAAATATGTTGTTAAACTTTGCTTTCCGCTGTTTTGAAGATATGAGATCTGAATTCTCAAAGACTCTCTAAACATCTGGGTGACAAAATATTCCATCTCTTGCATTATTAAAAAGATTTAAAACAATTTCCAAAGTTGGGCCTCTCTATCCTAATACAAGTAAGACGGCCAGTTAAAATACAAGTAAATCACATGACATAATGGAGATATGTGAAATGGGACACCCTGATGAGCTCTCCGAAGCTTGAGAAAAGGGGCCAGACAATAAGCAGATAGTATTTAATATATAAATTTACTAACACGTCTACATTTGTGCACATATTATACTGTAACAACCCACCTCAGACTAAGCAATGACCCTAAGACACTAAAAGCTAAAACAACTTAAACTGAAACCAACTAAAAAACTACAAAAATATATACAAGTTTACGTCTGCCCTTTCTAAGAGCTTTTTTCTGGTCTTGTATTTATTGCAGGGAAAGTAAATCAGAATACAGTCATTTACTTTGGACCATGATATGGCACGTATGACTTTCTTCTGTAAAATCTTCAGTTTCAAAACAGCATCAGGATGCTTACAGTAGAAACGTTTCTGATCCTCTGAGGCTGTTCTGTGGTTTCTGCTTTTGTGTCTGAGGAAAAAACAACATCTGATCTTTATTCATTGACAGAAGTAGAAGCAGAAGAGAGTCAGGCTGATTTCTCAGAAAAAGTGTGACCTGTAGACCGACGCAAGGACGACATTTTGGTGGGCAGGGGCTGCAGGCATAATTCTATACATTTCTTTAAATACTTTTACTTTTTGTTTCACAAGCAAGATTCCAAATGAGTAGCCAACAGCTTCACACAGCCAAGCAACAGAATACTGAATTGCCTGAATACATTAATGTATTGATCAAATACATTATGATTGTTGCTATTATATAACACTTATCCACTGTTCCATCACCACCCCTCATGACCAATAATACATTTTACTTTTGATACTTAAATGTTTTAAATGCAGCTACTTACTTTGACAGTTTCTGCATTTAGTCTTTCTAGGGCAGTAGTGTCAGAGAGAAACAGAGAAACTGTGCTTGACTGCAGCTCTGCAGTCTGACAGACAAACTTTCAAACACGTTTTCACTGAGGAATGTGTTCAGTGTTTCTGCACCTTTCAGTGTCCAGACACTTCACCAATGGTGGGCCTGTTGTTTGCAAATGGGTTTTCTTCTTATTTTAATTACTTGTTGCTCAGTTTATTTCAGACATAAACAACAGTTGTTTTTTTTATCTTAAACAGACAAACGCTCCTTTAAAGCATATTTTCAACTCATTAAAATCAGTCACTAAATACAAATCAAAGTAACAGGAAACAGGTCGAAGAAAGCGGATTAACCATCTTAAACTAAGGCTCACTGTGACTTCAGTCACTTTGGTTTGGTTTTTATCTGTTATATTGTTTCTATATTATCTATAAATGTTGTTTAATTAAAAATGACACATTTTTATCTGGTGTAATATTTTTAGATGTAACAAAGTCAGATTCTAGTTTTTATTGAATTTGTACTCACCGGTGTTTGTCAGAGATTCTGATGTTTTGTTGAGGAAAACCTGTTGATTCAGTTGAATTTTCAAACAGAGAGAAACAGAGAGACTCGACTCGACTGCAGCTCTGCAGTCTCTCAGACTAACTTTCACTTTCATTGAGGAATGTGATTTTTCCTCTTTCAGTGTTGCTCCACCTCTCAGTGTTCAGACACGTTACCAAAGGGGGGGAAATAAAAAAAAACACTGAGCCTTATTACTGATTGTTGTATCCACTCCACAACTGCAGGAAGGAGAGCTGCAACCGTCCCCCTGGGGCCTCAAACAGACACTGAATTTTGTGAGAGGCCACAAGTCAAAAAAGTTGGATTTGGTTTAATCTTTAAAAATATGTTTTTATATATCTTCTCAATCTGTAAAGTAAATTGTAACTAAAGCTAAAAACTACACACAAAGTAACATAAAATGGAAAAAAAGTAAAGTAAAAGGACCTCAAAACTGTACTTCAGTGCAGTAAATGTACTTAGTTACTTCCCAGCACTGCTGCATGATGGATAAAGTGGATGTCAGCAGTGTAACATCTGACCTGAAAGAGAAAACGAAGCTGCAGAAGGTAAAGAAGGCGACTCTGACACATCAGAGGACGACAGACAACACTTCGAATAATAACATTTATTTATTTATACACATACTCTGGTCCAGAGGAAAGGATAACTCAGGGATTTAATGCAGGAGATAACTGTGGAGTCTACGAGAAAGCTGTTCTCAGCCTTGATACCTTAATACTATGATAGTTCTCACAGGAACAGTAGGCAGAAGATAAAACTATCTCACAGATGTTCATTATAGCTGAAACACTGGTACACATAGTGGACAGTAAGATGAATATAAGTACACAAAGTAAATGATACATATCAGAATGCAGAAAGGTCAAATCAACCATCCCAGTAAAACTTTAAATCTGAGCAAGAAGCTGATATTCCTGTTTACAAAGCTGTACTGAACAATGTAAATCTATATATCTAAATGCTTTTTATGAGCAGTTATTTTTAGATTGAAAAAATAGATAAAATATGAATACTATTTAATTCTCAGTGTTCAGGTTTGCTGAGTTAATAAAGCTGCAGGTTTAAACTGTGACACTGGTGTTAATGGTGGCAGGAAGTTGTCCAGTTAATGCTTCCAGCACACTCAAACATTTATCAGCACACATGGAAAATCTGAGATTTTCTGCAGATAACTCCTGCTGGAATACGTTTGTACAAACGAGTTAGCAGCTTCTCTCTTTATGTCGAACACATTTCTACTTTTGTTGGTCAGAATAACTGAAGTGTCGGTGTCTCAGTATGGAGACTCTGTCTCAGTACATCACTCTCTGTCCTGTTTGGTTCTTTTTTATCTGTGTCACAAAAATCTTCCTGATCACTATGGAAGCTGGAGAAGTTCCACTCCTGTGTTAGCCATGTACTCAGCTTTTGGGGTCCGTGGGGTCCCTTAGCTTGGGAACTGGAGGGATGCTGTTTGAAGTCCAGTATGAAGTCAGTACGGAGTGTGGACTGGTAGCTGGAGAGGAGTGAAACATTTCCCCAGCAGGGCAGAAAGGTTCACTGTGTAAGTTTTAGTGGCATCTAGTGGTGAGGGTTGTGAATTGCAACCAACGGCTCAGTCACCGCTCACCCCTCCCTTTGTAAGCTCAAAGGAGGAGCTACAGTGGTGACAAGCTCTGTCGGCTCGTGTGCTAAATAATACATGCGGTGTTCCATTTGTCCAAATAATACTACTACTACCACTACTATTCAATTTTGTTACGTCCCAGCTCACTAGGGGAAAGGGGACGTATGCATAAACCAGATGCACTTGGTATGGTGGAAAAGTTTAAGGTTTTAACAAACTAAAGTTGGGCAAGTGGGTGCTGTGATAACATAAACTCAAGATAACAAAAAGAGATCCCTCCAAAACAGGGATTACTAACTCAAAAAGTACTTACTCTAAAACCTAGCCCAACTCTGCAGACACACGGTTAAACACAAACTAACTCAAGGGTGTCTCTTAACAAAAATAAACACAACAACATAAACACTTACTGACTCTCAGTAGTGAAATAAACTGCTGCAACAGAGTCTTTAGCTAAACAGCTAACACAAAGACTACTCTCAACAAAATAAATACTGACTCTCAGTAATAACAGTAACAAACACAAACAGGCCACAGAAGTGAAGCTGCTGCAACCAGCAAACAATATACATACTAACGGTTCCTCACCGAAACCAGCCAATCCTCAGCCGGGGATTGCACAACCTGCTTAGCATACTGGGAAAACACATGGACAGCAACCAAAACACACGGCTGCTACCAGCGGCTCTAACAATTTCAGTTCAATTTATTTACATAGCGCCAAATCACAACAACAGTTATCTCTGAGCGCTTTACTACTACTACTATTACTTCTTCTTCTTCCTTTCTTTGTATGTATTAAACAAAGTGACGAAACACGCTCCGTAGAGCCGTTTGTCTGTTCAGGCTACTGTAGAAACAAGACAGCGTCCATGTAAGAGGACCCGCTGTGTCTGTAGATAGAAATGTCTCATTCTAAGGTAATAAAAACATAACGGTTTATTATGTAAGGTCTTTATACACCACTGAAAACATAGTTATGGATATTATATTGCATTTCTGTCAATAAATCCTCCTAAATCCAAACATTATCATCTTCTTCTTCAACAAGAGGATTGCACCAACATCAAGTTCTTTATCATGTACTTTCTCTGATAAAAGAAACATGATGTCACCATCTTCACGGTACTGACATAATCATCTTCATCATTATCTTCTTCAACAAGAAGATTCCACTAACATCAAGTTCTTCATCTTGTGCATTCTCTAATAAAAAACATGATGTCACCATATTCAAGATGCTGACATCATCATCATTTTTATAAATATCTTCTTCATTATTAATATTTTCATCTTCTCATCATTAACATCATCTTCTTCATCATTATCTTCTTCATTATTAACATCATCTTCATCATCATTATCATCGTCGTCTTGTTCTTTCACTCCACTCACTACTTTCAGGATCTGAACTCGTTGCTTCCAGCCTGGCTTGGCCTCCGATTTCTCCCTCTCAATCAGCTTGTCGATGTACTCTGGAGTGCACGGAGGATCTGGTTTCAGTGCTATCTCTTTAAGTCTGTTTAAACACTTTGCAGTGCTGTCTATCAGATTCCGTACATCAGCAAGCACAAGTGCACATTCATACCCTACTTCTAAAAGAGATTCCCAAAAGCCCTTGTTTTTCTTCAGGCTTGCCTCTTGATTCTTCTCAGGTTTGTTTAAACCAAGTTTGAACTGCTTCAGCAAGTTTTCACTGAATTTTTGAGCTGCTGTCTTTCTCTGAGGACCTCCTTCGTCATCGTCAAGCTTTTGGTTTCTATTTGATTCAAAGCAGCAAAGAACCTCTTCATGCTTTTTGTCCCCATGTTCCAACACATCTGATCAAGCCTCCATCTTCACATCTCATCCCCACTCATGCTGCCTGCTGCAGATGATTTGTTGTCTGCAAACAAAGCTGAGTATTGAATTTGAAGTGAACTGGCAGCCCGTCTCTTGTTTTAGGACATGGGACACCTGAAGCATTGATTGCCTCTAGAACTGGTGGCTGGCCGTCTGCGAATGTCACCAGAACCCTGATGTTTTCTGCCACATCTTTGCCAAAGATTGAGAGTATGGAGTCAAACACTATTTCTGTGTTGGCGTGAGTCGAGCTAAAGAAGCCTGAGCTACAAACACACAGCGTCAATTTCACTGACACCAAGCTCAGCAGAGAAGAGATTACACAGCTGTTCTGTGAGGCTCTCATCTCTTATTAAGCCTCTGATCTCCAAACTCTGGAGTGTCAACAATGGTCAGAGGTATTCTGTTTTAAAACCCTCCTGGTGGTTGATTTTGTACACAGTGACTTCAGAGGTCTGACTTTCAGCCTGTGACGTCGACTGACCCTCATCAATTAACTTAAACCGATATGAATCCTCCCATTCGACACCTAGAATGTAGTTGATCAGTCCATTGATCAGAGTCGCCTTTCCAGATCCGGACACTCCAAAAACATTATTGTGCGATTTTTCCTCGTGCTTTTTTTCCAAAACTGTATCTTACATCCATCAATGTCCGTATCTTCTTCTTTCAGAGGCAGTTTGTAAACTGAAGGTGATTCAGAATTTATCCTTTCACTTCTACTTTTGAGGAGTTCTGTGAGACGTTTAAATGTCGTTGTGCAGACATTAACAGAGATGCTTCCTTGCTTTTTCCAGCTTCACCACAGTCACATCTGACCCTGACAACAATTCTGTCTCTGGC